CCAGCACCGTTCGTACGAGACCATTTTTTCTCAATTTCTTGAATAGGTTCGGTGTGCAACCTTTGATAGAAAATCTTTATTTCAGTTGTTCAGAAGCGGTTTCGTACGAAACCTCATTTTTTTAGGAACCAAAAGAGGAGGGTGTGGGTGTGGGTGTGGGTGCGGGTGTGGGGTGTGGGTGTAGCGTGTGAGTGTTGGGTGTGACTGTGAGTGTGGGTGGGTGTGGGTGCGAGTGTGGGTGTGGTTGTGGGGTAGAGCTCGTCGGGTCCAAGATTTTCAGATCCGGATTCGGTTCACTGGATGTCTGCAAGACCCGGACTCAATTAGTTAAATTTTAGTTAGACTCGGACTCGACTGAATTTTTTCGAACTCGAGCCCGGACCCGAACCTGGACCCGGACACGACTGGTTAAAACTTATCGAGCTCGAGCCCATATCCCATTGATTAAACTTTTTCTAACTCTGAATTGACCGGCATTCTGGACATTTTCAATGAATTATTCTTATTGGAATCTGATAGTAAGTCATAAATACGAGATCTTTTTTTCAATCATATCGATCACTACTGCGCCCTATTTATTTGTCAGATTATATTGATCGTGATCTATAATCAAGTTGTAATTAGCTCTAACTCTTAACCAATAACTTCAGATAGCGAGATAAAAGTTTAGATTCATACAGCTTTATCTTATTTCTTTTTTTAACAACTACACGATTAATAGGTATAGTTGCCTTATTGTTACTGGTTCATATTGATAAAAACAAGTTAAGACAAAATCATATTATTTATTTCTTTTAACATGCATACAATCAATACTTGTTTTTATTTTGTTGTTATGCATTCATATTTATATAAAACAAGTTAAGACAACATTATATTATTTGTTGTGTTTAGCGCCTTATCGATTAACAGTAATATTTGTTTTAATTTTACTAATTCATATTTATAAAAAAAACATATTAAAATAGCATCATATTATTTTGTTTTCTCTAACAGGTATACGATTATTACTATTATTATTTTGTTGTTGTGGACCGGTATTTAAGTAAAACAAATTAAGACAATATCAGATTATTCTTTTTCTTTAATAGGTATACTATCAATTTTTATACTTGTTGTCTTGTTACCAGTTCATATTTATAAAAACAAATTACAACAACATCATATTACTTTGTCTTCTTTAACTGATACGCAATTAATTGTTATACTTGTTCTATTGTTACTAGTTCATATATATATATATATCCCAGAACGATGATTCCGGCCTTCGGATCCGGCCGGAACCAACAGGAACCAGGACTATTTCCCGCTAATTCCGACAGGTTCCAGCTTATTTCCCTCCGGAACCGCCAGGAAAACATACGGAAGATGGAAGCAGTATTCCGGGCCGGAAAGAGCCGTACCCGATCCTTTCACTTCCGTGTAAATCCAGTGTTCGGAATTATCTTGGAAAATTACCATATCCGCGTGGAATTCTTACGGAAAGTTACCGTATCCTGCTTCTCAGGTCGAAGAATACCGCAACGAACTAGCCGTTTCCCGCGGGAAATTCACGGATCCGGTCGCCGGAATTATCGTTCTCGAGTATTTTTCTGCAGGATACGGTGATTTTCTCGCCGGTTTCTACAGGATCTGTTTTTCAGAATGATTGACCTGGGATCATATCCAGCCGTAATCACAGTGGAAACGGCCGGATCTACTCCGATATTATCTACTAACAACATAGAAAATCTTTGAAATCAACGGAACACGGCCAAAGTATTCCTAAACAGGATCTCGCCGGCTATTTCCAGCAAACTCCCCACATTTCCGTCGCTTTCCCGCCGGAAACGGCAAGCAGAATCCGTCAAAGTCCTGCGCAATACTGTTCCTAAGATCCGATCGTTTCCCACCCACACCCCACACCCACACCCACACCCACCCACACCCATACCCACACCCACACCCACACCCCACACCCACACCCACCCACACCCATACCCACACCCACACCCACACCCCACACCCACACCCCACACCCACACCCACACCCACACGCGCATCCACACACCCACACACCCACACCCACACCCACACCCACACCCACACCCTCACCCTCGTCACTTGATCCACCAGCACTCACACCCACACCCTTACCCTCGTCACTTGATCCACCAGCACCCACGCCCACACCCCACACCCACACGCACACCCACACCCTCATCCTCGTCACTTGATCCACCAGCATCCACACCCACACTCCACACCCACACCCTCATCCTCGTCACTTGACCCACCAGCACCCACGCCCGTAGTCCGCTCTGTGGTACCTATCGCAGGAGGAGAGATCTCTCCCTTGTCGTGCGCGCGCGTTAGCCAAAATTAGCAGAGAACAACCAGAAGAAAAAAATTGAACAGCAATTTAAATCAATTTATTGAGCAATGAAGAACAAAAAAACAAATTAGATTTTCTTTCGAATTTTTTCAAATGTTTCTTTATATTCCAAAAGGTGAGGATGAGTTGAAGATAATCTTTCTTGAGCTATTTCTATCGCTTGTTGAACATTTTTCATTGCCATACTATATTGTCGAGTAGATAAGTATAATTTTGCCATATTATGATAAATTACAGCTAAATCAGGATGATTTTTTGGTAACTTCTTCTGACGTATTTCTAACCCTTTTTGAAAATATGTCAGTGCCGCTGAATAGTCCTTCATTTCTCGATAAGTTTCACCTAAATTTGTATATATCGTTGCACATTCCAAAGGATTACCTTGAACATTTTCTTGAATATTTAATGCTTTTCGATGAAATGAAAGTGCCTTTTCATAATCTCCCATTAATTGATGCATATTACCAATATTACTGTATGTAATAGCCTGATCTGGATGTCTTTCAGGTAATGTTTTTAGATTTATCGCTAAACACTTTTCAAAATATTCAAGTGCCCTCGGGTAATCGTCCATACTGCGATAAACTCTTCCGAACCAACTATATATAAAGGCAAAAGCCGGATTACCTTCTTGGAATGTTTTTTGTTGAATTTGAAAAGCACTTTGAAGAGCCTTAAGAGCTGCTGCGTAATCACCCATTCTTTCGTAACATGCTGCAAAATTCAAGTGACTACTAGACAAATGGGGATGATTCGGAGGTAGAGCTTTTTCTTTTATTTTATGTGCTTTTTCGTAAAATTCAAGTGCTCTCGAGTAGTCACCCATGTTGTTATATACTTGACCGATGTTACTGTAGGAAATAGCCAATGAGGGATGATTCGAAGGCAGAGCTTTTTCTCTAATTTTAAATGCTTTTTCGTAAAATTCAAGTGCTTTTGCGTAGTCACCCATGTTGTTATACACTTGACCGATATTGTTGTAGGAAGTAGCCAAATCGGGATGATTCGGAGGCAGGGCTTTTTTCGTGATTTCGAGATCTTTTTCGTAAAATTCAAGTGCTTTTGCGTAGTCACCCATGTTGTTATACACTTTACCAATGCTGCTGTAGGAAATAGCCAAATGGGGATGATTCGGAGGTAGAGCTTTTTCGAAGATTTGATGTGCTTTTTCGTAAAATTCAAGTGTTTTCGAGTAGTCACCCATGTTGTTATACACTTGACCAATGTTGTTGTAGGAGATAGCCAAATCGGGATGGTTCGGAGGTAGAGCTTTTTCTTTTATTTTATGTGCTTTTTCGTAAAATTCAAGTGCTTTCGAGTAGTCACCCATATTGTTATATGCAAGACCAATGTTGTTGTAGGAAGTAGCCAATGAGGGATGATTCGGAGGTAGAGCTTTTTCGAAGATATTATGTGCTTTTTCGTAAAATTCAAGTGCTTT